GCGGAGAAGAAAAGGGGCGGACTGAGATTGGGAGGGAAGAGGAGAGGAGGGAAGGCGGAGGACCGTTTAAGGGGGTGCCTGGCAGGAAGCGGAGGGAGAGGACTAGACGGAGCCTCCAGGGGAAAGAAATTGGGGCAGTGTTTTGCAAGGGGCAGCGCTGCAGCGGCTCTCGGGCCCCGCCAGGTGGACCCCGCTTCACCTGCATCACCGGCCCCTCCCCGGGCCGCGGTTCTCGGACAGACACGACTTGAGTGGCCCAGTGGGACGGGGAGTTTGGACGTGCCCAGGCGCCTCTCGAAGACTTGGCTTTTCCGGCTGACAGCGCCCCACCCCCAAGGGTAGACTGCGGACCCGAGTCATCCTTGAGGGAGAGGAGGAGGGAGTGGGGGATCAAGGAGGAGGCAGGGTCAGTGGCCGCAGGCCACGCCGGAGAATCAACTTCCCCGAGGATCCCGCCTTTCCTCTCTCTCCCAGCTGGGCGGGCTGCCCCGCTGCCGGCACCGCCCCTACTCGCGCGCTTTCTGCTTCTTGCCGGGCGGGGACTCAGACTTAACCCCACGGGTCCCAGGGCCCCCAAATCTCCCAGCAGCTCTGTGTGGCCTCAGCGGCTACGCAAAATCAAGGAGCGGCACAGACCCGCAGTCTGCTCTCCGGCAGCTGAGGGAAGTCTATGTAGAGGGCAGAGGTGCCTCCCAGATGAACCTTCACACCCACCCTCGGCCTACCCGAGTTTTGGGCTTGGGTAGGGAGCCTAGCCAGTCTTCCTGAGCTCCGGAATGAGGGCCTTAAGGAGGGTCCGGTGTTTTGCTAGTTTGTCAGTGTGGTACTGGTTCTGGGAGGAGGGTACAGGTGGAGACGGAGGACTCCGACCTGTGAGTGAGAGGTGTTCCTGCGGGCCGTAAGATTGTGAAAAGCCCGGGCTCAGCTCCTTCCCCCTCAGTTGTCCTTTTCACTTCCTCGTTTCCTCTTCCCCAGTGCTACTCAGACTAGAATCCAAGCTAGCAGATCCCAGGCTTTGCTTTCAGACTGGGGTTATAGAACATTTCTTGGTCCCATTCCTTCAAGTTTTCTGGGAGGACTGTGCTAGGAGCACAGGAGTGGGAGTCCAGAACCCTGGTTTCAACCTTTGACTTTGCTTGATGTCTGGGGTAAGGCACGTATTTCTTTCTTTCTTTCTATTTATTTATTTATTTATTTATTGCACTGGGGATTGAATTTGGGACCTTGCGCTTGTGAGGCAGGCGGCGGAGCCACAGAGCTAAATCCCTGGGCCCTATTTCTTTTAAGTATACAGTAGGGTTTTTAAAAAGTGTCCCTCTGCTCTAGCATGCTGGAAGCCCTTTGAAAGTGTTGCAAGCCTAAGAGAGTGGAGCTCTAGGGCTTCTCCCTAAGAGTTTAGTTCACAGGGACTTGCCCCCTTGCACTGAGGGCACAGGGCTGCCAAAGTAAGTTCTAAACCAGTGCCAAGAGGATAGCTCCCTGAGAAATCCAGGTGGCATCTGCCAGAGTCTTCCATGAGCAGAGAGAGGCCCTGAAGCAGCTGTTTGCTCCAGCTATGAAGACCCTGGGAGACCTGGGGAAGAGTTTATACCAATTAAGATAAGGTTTAGAGCCTGCCTTGCAGACCTCCAACAAAGGGCAACCTACTCTTTCCAAGAGCTCTTCTCGGCAACACAGGTAGAAGGATTCAGCTGGCCATGGCCATGTTACACCTCAGCAAGATCAAGCAGGCTGTGGGGGGAGCACCTTGGTTGGCTGTTGGTGGGTAGGACCAAGCGGTTACTTCCAAGTCTGTTCAGCTTCATTTTCTCCCTTGGTTAAGCCTGGATGATGTGTTAATGCCACCTGGTTCTGGGCTGGGGTGGGTTTAACAACACTAACCTTGTAAAAGTGGGTTATCTCTGTCACCTCAGCCCCAGCATTCACCACGAATATGCTCCTCCTTGGACTCTTGGAGATTCAAGATTGAACTTCCCCCAGGACTAGGTCCTGTCCATGTCCAGTGAAGGCAGATATTCTGGATAAAGACTTCTTATCTCTCCCAGTGCTGCCCCTTTGTGTTTCCTGGACCCTGAGCCCAATGGTCAGTCCTGCCAGGAGCCTTCAGGCAGCACTCAGTAGTTGAGGCAAGTACAAGAGGGAACCTGCTGCCTTAGACAATTGAGTGTGTCATATGCAAAGTTTTTAGGTGGCATTAACTGAAATACCATAGCACCATGACTCCAGGTATAGGTGTGTGTCTTTATACCACTAACTATTCCCTCCACCCATGTATGCAAGAAACCAGTCTTGGCAGGTCTAGGCCAGAATCTCTAGACAGTAGGGGCTGCTGGATGCCTGCCCAAAGAGGTTAGGAGCTGTTTTCACATTCCTCTGTCCCTCCCTGTCTCCCCCCTACCCCACCTTTGCCACAGGACAGAACACTTAGTAGGTGTCCAGGTGAGGATTTGATAGCTGCCAGCCTGACTCAAAGACAATTTCAGCCCTCAGTTCCAGCCCTCAGAGTGGCTGCTTCAGAGGCCTTTGAATGTCAGTGGCCCTTGAATCCATGCCACATCCATCTCCAGAATTCTGCTCCTCCTTCCTCCCTGAAGGCCCTCACCCAAGAGGATTGCAAGGATGTTTTATCAAGCAAAATAGAGCAACCTCCTGGCCATTGAGGAGAAAATGTGCAAGCCTATAGAAATCTGGGCTTCACTACAACGTTTCCTTGCCCCTCCAAGCTGTGTGGAAGGCCCCCAGGAAAGTCAGATTTTCTGGCAAGGGCAGCAGCACGGTGGGTAGGTGTTGCCAAGGATCTCACACTGACCGCGCATGACTTTACCCCTAACTTTTGGTCACAGACAGTCTAAAGCCTTTGTGTCTGGAGTCAGGCAGGAAGTTTACAGGACAGATCCCCAAGGCCATCGGTAAGTTGCACCACTGACCAACTAAGGAGGGTGTCTGCTCGCGGGACTTCCAGAGAAAAGGAAAAATCACACCAGCCTCAAGGGCTCCCTCACTTTGGGTTGGGGCCATTTCGTAGGAAACGGGGAGTTCTCGAGAGAAGACACTCTCTGGATGTTTCTAAGGTCCCTGGACAGGATGGCCTTCATTTCTGTCAAATCTGAATCTTTATTTGTGACTGAAGGAAGGAAAAAGGGCTCTTGGTGCCAAATTGCAGAACTGGAGCTCCTGTGTGTGTGTTTTCATCTTTATTTTTCTAGCCTATAAAGTTCACAGAGACCCTGTCACTCATTCCAGCCGGGACCCCGGCCCTGAGCCACAGGGCTCCAGGGCGTCCTGGATGGGACCCAGACAGAGTCCCACAGATCCCGGTGCTTCTGGGGGCTCCCAGCCTTCTCCCGCCACAAGCTCACCGAGATCCCCCAGCCAGCTTGGGCCGGGATGCTGCGCTTCATGGAAAGCGGACGGGGGACGCAGAGGCTCCCGGCACCTGTGCCTCCACCCGCGGGGTCTGTCGTGTCAGGGCAGTTGCAGCCTGGCACTTGCAAACCTCAGTGCCCCCTGCCAAGGTTTTGGCATTGCCCCAGCTTTGGGGTTAGGTAAATGTGCTGGCGAGCAACTCACAGAAGTTCTCCAAACGCCCGGCCAGCTCGGGCACTGCTTCAAGCGCGGAACTCTGGCGGCTCTGAAAAGGCGCAAAGCTGGGTGTCGCTTGCACTGCACGTGATGGGCTCTGTCACAGGCGGCAAGGGCTGGAGAGCCACCGACCCCTGGACCCTGCTGTCTCTCTGCGTTCTGATCTTTAGCTGCGGCCCATGCGGCAGTCTGGAAGTCCCTTGTGAGAAAACGGTTTGAAGGCCGCGGCCTCACGGTGGACCTTGTTCCAACGAAAAGAGCGAGCACCAGGGCTCGAGGGCCTTTTGGGGACCGGCAAAGTAGCCAGTCGGTGCTGGTATTGCCGGGATTGGAGGCGGGGACCCAGGCCCGGGAGCCTGGCCGTGTTCCTGCAGCCCTGGGTCCAGGCCAGCGATCTCTGCTCCATCACGGGTTCCTCCCTACCTCGCCACGCCTGGGATGGGTGTGGGGTGCGGGCGTGGCGAGCCGAGCGACCCGCAGGGGGCGGGGGTTCTCCGGCTTTTGGTTCGGGAAGCTCTATGGAAATGTGCTGTTGGGTTGTTTTTCCTTGGAATGGTACAGTGGTTGTGCGTCGCTGTCCGGTCAACTGCTGGGTCTTTTCGGCAGCACTTCCAGCACTGACCAAGCACCTATGACCTGTCACAGCAGGCACTCGAAATGGGACGCGTCCTTGA